TATTTGTCCTGTTATAGGAAGTTGCAGTAGTTTGGTTTGTTCTTTTTTTTTAGATTTTATTTATTTGAGAGAGAATGAGAGAGAGAGAGCACAAGAAGGGGGAGGGTCAGAGGGAGAAGCAGACTCCCTGCTAAGCAGGGAGCCCGATGTGGGACTCGATGGAGGCAGTCGCTTAACCAACTGAGCCACCCAGGCGCCCAAATTGCAGTAGTTTTGTTGGACCCCTTATGAATCTTAAGAAACCCATTTTTACCAAGGTGCTTAATGGACAGCCATTTTACTTCACATTGGTAACTTCATTTTTAAATTATAGACTATTTCAAATAAATGGAAAAGGACTGAAAATGACCCTTTTAATATAAACAAATGTTAAGATTCTGAAAAATGTTACAGATAAAGTATCCCTTATACAACTGTCCAGTGTGATTCTTGGTACTTAAGCTGCAGATTCTTGTATATGTAACAGGTTTATTTACCCACAAAATTTACATAAATGGAATCTTCTTCACTGGATGTATCTTTTTGCATCTTGTTTCCTTTTTTCCCCCTCAGTTAAAATAATGAAATTGGCAGAATCTAGAATGTTTAAGGGACTGATTGATGTCCCCTTAGTCTTATCTTTCAAAATCCCTAAAAGTTCTTCTTACTAGAGAAAACAGTATGATGTGAGAAAAGAGATAATATTAAGTATATATCTAAGAAAACCACCAGTATTTTTTTTAAAAAAGGATTAGTCTCATGTAAATTTTTAGCCTTCAGCCGAGTTTTCATTTTTAAATTAACACATCATTGTAGAATTGATTGCTAAAATTAGACTCCGTTATATTTATAAATCGTTTTATTGCCTGATAATTACCACCTTAATTTTTTGTTTAATTTGCTTTGGATTGGGATTAATAAATTGAGGATGTAGTTTCACATGGATAATCTTATCTAGGAGCTACGGTGGTGGTGAGAAAGTCTGTTTCAAGGGAAGTGGAAACCTCAAGGAGGGATTTTCTAGAGAGCCTAAATGGTAACTATTTTGAATTAGAAAATGAGCCATACTTGCCTAAAGGATATGCTTGATAGGATTTTACCTGTTTGGATGGTTGTGGTTGAAGATAATGGCCCTGTGGTATAGTGGTTCTTATTGAGTACCCGTTATGTACCAATCACTTTACACGGGTTTTTACCCCGAAGATTCAGAACAACACTTTTTGCTGTTAATACTGTAATAGTCACTGGTTCTGTTGAGTTTAATATTAATGGCCATGACCAATTTCATATGTGATAATTTTTTAGTTCCCATCCACTCTGTCATTTTGTTGACCTACTTACTGTCAGTTCTCACTGGTTTGTGCTTGTATATACATAATGCTCCCCCACTTCTAATTATTTATGGTCTTTGAGAAGACTGCTTAACAGTTGTGTGTGATGAATAAGTAAGTGGCCTTTGAATTTGGGATTTTTAAGAATCTGAGTGAACTAAAGTGAACTAGAAGTTCACAAGATTCCCTTATCTTTACATTGAACAAAAAACTTAAATTTATCTTTTGTTAATCAGTGCTAAGAAAGAATGGTGTTATAGAATAGCTGAATCCCGGGTGGTGTGTATGTGCTAGTTCCTAATGAGTGCTCCCATTAATGTTGAAACAAATTCCTCAAGAACGTCAGTTTTCTGGATATTATTTGAAGAGAATATTTTCAGTGGATTGATTGTACTAAGTAATTGTTGGAAACCCAACCTTTTTTTAAACTTCATAGTTTTCATCTTGCCAAAAATTTTTTTTCTAGAACAAATTCTGTACAACATAAAACAAGAGTATAAACGCATGCAGAAGAGAAGACATTTAGAAACTAGTTTCCAACAGACAGATCCATGTTGTACTTCTGAGGCACAACCACATGCATTTCTCCTCAGTGGACCAGCTTCACCAGGTAATAATAAATTTAATAAGTGAAAGGAAATATTTAATATGGGAAAAGGTGATCAAAGTTGTTTTTAATCACTCAAGCTTCTGTTTTTTCCCCTTGGTTTTTAAAATATTTATACAAATAATTCATGATCTCTTAGAATATGGCACAGAGTAAGTACTTGCTACCTGGATTCTCACTACTCAGAGATGACCACCTGGATATAATATCCCTCAAGTGGACTTCCCCATAAGTGATATGATTTGTAGCCTTCATTAAGAAAAATATTAACAATATACCATGTATATTTCTCTGTTAAGTATAGATGTACCTTGCCATGGTTGAATACTATGCTATTTTACGGACTTCCCATAATTATTTAACCATTAATGAAGATAATCAGACTGAATTTCTGGTATTAAAAGCATTTCCTTGTACATATACCCTCACACACTTGTCCTATTAGGATAGATTCTCAAAGGTGAAAAGTGGCTCTTATCTTTAGTAAAGTTCTCAGCAAAATAGTTCTCTTGTGACCCAAGTTGCCTGCCCCCTTCCCTTCCCTCCCAGCAGGGATAAGAAAACCTGGCAGAATAGAAAAACATTCAGGGGCTGCTGGCTGGCTCAGTAGAGACAGCATTCACCTCTTGATCTCAGGGTTGTGAGCTCGAACTCCACGTTGGGGGTAGAGTTTACTTTAAAAAAAAAAAATCAAAATCTATAAAATAGACAAAATCCTGCCAGTTGGGGGTGGGGGCAGGTGAGTAAGCGGGTGAAACATTAGGGGAGATGAGGGTAGAGACTAGACTTAAATCAGCAGGAAACTAAGTTCATCATCATTCTTTTAGTCAGTTTACTTAGATCAACTAACTGGCAGCCTCAACTAACAAAGCTAGGAATTTGAAAGTAAAGATAGCCTTCATTGTTGTAGTTAAAGGTGGTATACTTTATCTTGTGATAGACACAGCTCTAACAAGCACAACTAACTGGTCCCTGCCATGCAGGTTTCAAAAAGCAAGTGAATAGAGGAATTGGGGGTACCAGGGACAGATACACAGAGTAGGACTATTGATAGCAAATCTGTGTATTTGAGTATGTATAAAAATATTTGCAGCAGTGTTAAAATAGATACATGATGTCATAATCCTGAGTTCTCAAAAGATTAATTTCAGATGTTCTTTTCAATAAATGAAGAATGATGTTTTTGGAAAATCAAAGTTCCTTAAGAGGAATGCATTCTGAAGAAATCTTTTATATCAAGTATCACTAGCTGATGATGATAAGTGGCTGTTCGACTAATAATCTTTAAGGACTTGGAACCATAAAATGTAATGTTGAATATTAGCAATATATTCTCCGTATTTATTTTTACCAAGCCATCTCCTGGCTGTTATCATTAATTAAAAAAACAAAAACTTTGTATCTTGTGCTTTTCTCCAGTCACCTTTAGACTTTTTACCTTATAATCTGATCACATACATCTTGCTGTTTTTCTGGAGTTGTAAGCTGCTGATAGGATTAAACCTGTTTTAAGGCTACTGATAGAAAATGCTTTTATATGAACACTGAAAAAGATCCAAATGAAACATCTTCAGTTAGAAGATACTTTTTATGATGGCTCTAAATCATGTGCTTTTTCTGTTCATGTTATACATAGGGACTTCCTCTGCAACATCCTCACCATTAAAAAAAGAACAGCCCTTATTCACTCTACGGCAGGTTGGGATGATCTGTGAACGTTTGTTGAAAGAACGTGAAGAGAAAGTTCGAGAAGAGTATGAAGAAATACTGAACACAAAACTTGCAGGTATGAGATGAGCTTATTTTAAAGTCTCCCAGAAACTCACTGTAAGAAATGATTATTTCCCACGTGTTCTTAATGTCAATTAAATTACCCTTTCTATCCACTGGTTACAGTATGTTTTCTAAGAACCAGTTGAATTTCAGTTTAAGAAAGGAAATGAACCTTCTTGTAGCTCATGGCCCTCCTTAGTGACCTCAAGAAATTGTATTAGTTAACCAACAGTATTAACGTGAACTAGATTTTTCCTTTGATATTCCTGTGCTAAAAATTTGACTTTGGCTACTCAATTTGGTTTTGGATTTTTGGACTACATCTTTCATGATAACTTTCCCATCAGTCTAGACACATTTATTGTGTATGGTCAGTTAATTAGGATTTTTTTTCCCCCTGATTTTTAAGCCAGACACTACTGGGTATTGTTAAGTATAAGCTTTTTTATTCTAAAGTTGTTAAAAGAAGGTGCTAATATAGGCAAGAGAATTTGCTTAGTATGTAACATCTTTTTCTGTGACATCTCATTAGGTTACATGTGGATGCTTTTCGACATACTTTGTTGTTTTCCTGTTTCCTCTCATTGCAGTAAACTGCCATTCATAGATCACTTACAGTAAACTTTCAGAGTAGAAAGATACTTTTTTATTTCAAACCCTTTACTTTTAATAGGTTAAGAAATAAGCTCCCAGCCTATACATGAGGTCATGTGATTTGGACTAAAATGTAGGTTTCCTGACCAAGTTCTGCTCTTTCATTTGATAACACCACTATTATTACTATTACTACTGAGGTTATGTGTCTGATTCAAAGGGCCAACTTACAATTGTTTCACTGTACATTCCTAGATTTTTCAGTTTATCTGGCTCTATATTAGAGAGTATGTTTTGCAAATCATGTAATTGATATGTACCTTTATTTATAGAACAATATGATGCATTTGTGAAGTTTACGCATGATCAAATAATGCGACGATATGGAGAACAGCCTGCTAGCTGTAAGTATTTCATCTTTAAACTGAATGCAAACCATCTTTTAAAGAGAAGACATTTATTATAATTATCTACATACTCAAGAGAATTTAACAGAAAATCATGGAGAAAAAGGCTGGAGGAAACAGGCAGTAAAATTTTAGTAAGGTTTACTTTTGGTTACTTAAATACCTAAGGGTAGTGTTGGGGATGAAGATCTGGTATGTCTTTGAATTTTGACCTGGACTTTGCACTAATTTTCCTTTTCCTCCCCCTTTAGATGTTTCATGAATCACGTTTTCTGCATTTGTGGGCTGCCTTGTTCCTTGTTGAGTTGTTGCAAGAGGTCCTAATTATGACATGCAGCAATGCCAATACCCCCCTGTGAATACAGGTTATTTCAAGCTTTCGTCAGTGGCAACCACTCTTAGGCAGCAACTGGTTTTGGAAATTTCCCTGATGTCAGTACCATCTGGATGTGGACCTTTGCTACCTGTATTAATGCCAGTGGCCTCATTTGCTGTATCATTACAATTTGGCTTCTTATATTAATATGTTTGAAAAGGATTAAAGCTGGTATTCTAAGAACATGCCCTTCACTGGTTGTGTAAATAAAACTGTAGAATTGACACTTCAGATGAAATTAGTGTGATTTTAATTGTGCACTACAACCAAGCTGTAACCAGTTATTAATAATTTAGAATGTAATCCCAGGACATTATTAAGCAAATAGCCTACAGTGCTTCCTGTGAAATAGTGAAGGAGGGAGGGCATTTCTGTATTCCAGGACTTCTTGGGGTTTCAGAAAGGGTTTCTAGGATTTTTTTTTTTTCTTAAGTTTTTTTTGGGGGGGGGTAGTTTTTATTTATTCTATCAGTCTTTTTAACAAATGTTTATTGCTGCATTTTTTTCCCAGTGTGTGTTTTACTGCCCTTGTAGTACTGGAATATAGTTGGAAGAATAAAACATTTACTTCTAATCTGCTTTAATGTACAGATGGGTAGTATTTGAATAAAGCCAGTGTTTTAAATGTAAGCATTTTCCAGGAATCAATGAAGTTAATTTTCTAGTAAGATTTAAAAATCTTTAATATACCAAATAATCTAAGATATGAGTGCTCTTTTCAAAAACTGAGTTCTGATTCCAAATTGCTTTTAACTGACTGCATGATAGAATGTTACATAAGAGATCCAGTTTTAACAGCTATAGAATTTTTACCTCCAAGACAGCAATATAATCCAAGTTTTTTTTGTCAAGGATGATAGATGAAAGCATGATTCAGCACATTTAATTCCCTTTGTTACAATGAAGTGAGCAAAAAATGCTTCAGTCCTTTCTTTTGTTGAATTCTTTTAGCGTATTTCTACTAATTAAACCAATCATAAATGTACTGGGGCATATATATTTATAATTGACCTAATTAGTGGAAGAAACAAAGGATTTTTTTGCCTTTTTAATTTTGGTGATTATACCTCACCTTTAAACAAGGCCAGGGCTTGAGGGCTTTCACAAGATCCTCAGATAATTCATATGCCCATTAAGTGCTTGAGAAAGATTGGTATAGTGCAGGTAGCCATAAATAAGGTAGATAATTCTACCTAGTTTTAATGGACTAATAGAAATTAACCTCAGCACTACTGACAGTTTGGGCCAGATCACTGTTGTGGGAGTCCTACTGTGCATTATAGGATGTTTAGCAGCATCTTTGCCCTCTACCACTAGATGCCAGTAGCACCCCCCAACCTATGACAACCAAAAATGTACTTCCAGATATATTGCCAATGTCGAGGGCTGAGGAAGGAAACAGTCCCCAGCTAAGAACCACTGGTATATTGGGATTTGTAGGAGAATGCAGGCAGTAAGTTGGAATATGGAGGAGTGGGAGTAAAGTGAATAGAAATACATTTTATCCCTTCTTAAACCCCAGTAAGGGCAAATGATCAACACTCTTAAGTAAGCATGTGTGAGTTTCCACATAGATTGAAATTTATAAAAGAGCTGGTTTTTAAACTTGGAGGGCAAGATATACTAAAAGGAAAATCAGTACTGGCGATCTCAATGGAGCCACAAGTAATACAGTTGTTTTAATTCTAGATTCAAGTTGGATCAAGAATAAAATTTCCTCCTCAGCCAAATTTCTGCTTATTACCTTACCAAAAAGTCCTAGCTTACTTATAACTACTTACCAATTTTCAGTAATTGTGTGAGGCAATGCCAGAAAATAAAAAATACAGGCAACTTCTTGGATTTAGTTGTAATTAGATGGACCCAGTAGTTGAATATTCTAGTCCAAAAACCAACCGTAGTTGATCTCGATAAGAAAGATCATATTAGCTACCTAGGGATTCTGAATTCCCAGAGATCCCTGAAATTGCTTTTTAACAAATAGCTAGTTACAGAATTACATGTGCTAATAGTCATTCTTTTAGTAAAAGGCAATACCGGCATGGTGCTATACTTAGGTTGCTATAGTGTTCGGTAAATCCCTGATTATATCACCAGGTATAATTCTTTGTATTTTTGAGCAAAAATAGGCATAGGCAATCTGAGAAGAATAGATATTGGAGATTTAGAATATCAAAGTTATCTTTGGCCTATGGCAAAAACTTCTCTCTAAAGAAAATGGTAAACAAATGAGACATTAATTGCATCAGCAATACTAACTGGAGAGCTTTTAGGAAAGATTCCCAGGTTCCAACCCCTTAGACTGCTTTAGAAGGTTGTGGGGAGGGAAGGACTGTTGGAATCTGTTTAGGTGATCCAAGCAGCCAAGGTTGGAAGTAATTGTCTTTGTCTTATTTGGGTTTTCTTTAATCCCTTACTTCAAAATTATACAGTAACTGGTGCTAATAAGCAAATATTCTGCTAAAGCACCTAATAGCCTGTCTCTTGTCTATTCCTAGACATGGCTCTGCAATTCTCTGCTCCTACACTTGCCCTAGGTAAGGAGCCCCTGTCTCTTTCAAAGACAGCGTTTCTCTATACTGCATCCATTTTCTACTAGATCATTCCCCAAAGCACAGTAAACATGCCATTAAAAAATCTCTTGAGGGGTCCCTGGGGGTACAGTTGGTTAAGTGTCTTCGTTTCTTCAGCTCAGGTCATGATCTTGGGGTCTTGAGATCAAGCCCCGAGTCAGGCTCTGAGCTCAGCGAGGAGTCTACTAGAGTTTCTCTCTCCCTCTGCCCCACCCTGTGCTCGTTTGCTCTAAAGTCTGTCTTAAAAAAAAAAACTCTCGATCCTGTGATCCCTCTTCTAGTTACTACTCTATTTTTCTGCTCTGTAACCTTTATAGTAAAAGTCAAGAATTTTCTAATCGTCCTCCCTTGCCTCTTTTAACCATCTTTTATTAGGAAAAAAAATTCATAGAAAAGCTAAAAGAACAGTCCAGTGATCCACTTAAAGTGAAAAACTGTTTTGCCATTTGTTTCATACGTATGTATTTTTAACTTTCAAAAAACATACACATGATTCATCTCCTAAGGTGGGTTTTCCTATATTGATACCATTATTCCACTTAAAATACCTAATTTAATATCCAGTCCATATTTAGATTTTCCCATTTGTTCCCCAAATGTCATTGCAATTGCAGCTTTTTTCCTCCCTAAAGCAGGATTCAATCAAAACAGCTAGACCTGTTATCTAACTGAATGTTTGTGATGTCATTAATTTAACCTTTTATATCAGTTTGAACTCCCTGTAATAACAAAGTTAGCTCTAATGTTTTTATTTAAACCTTTTGTGCAACAGTACAAGATAATGTTGTCTTCATTTACATTACACCATGTATGGCTTTCCCAGGACTAGTGGTAAGTTTGGACATTTGTTAGGTCATACATGTTCCCTAACAGACATTTCTGCACTACTGTTAACCACAAATGATTTCCACGTTGCTAAATCTAATCAACATTTGACCTTGAAACACTCTTCAGTTGGCTTGCAAGATACCACGCCTGCCTGATTTTCCTCATTTATTGGCTGCTCCTTCTTGGTCTATCTGGTTCTTCTATGTAACTGTCTTTTTTCCTTTTTCCCTGCTGCCCAGTCATTTTTCCAACTGTTAAAACATACATATGCCCCAGAGTTTGACCTTGGGCTCCTTGCCTCTTCTGTTCATACTCAGTTTGGTGATCACATCCAAGAGACATAAGATTACATTCACCTCTCTATGGAGGCAGAGGCTCTGCCTTTAACACATGGATTCCAAAGTGTCAAAAGCCTCTGTCTGTCCAGTTTCTTCCCATATGGTGGTGATGTTTGTGTTTGCATATCATAAATTACTTAATTTCAAAGTTGACAGCTCTTTGTGCACATATTTATATGTATTTACTGCTCAGTAAGAAATCCTGGCATCTTTTAGATGAAGATGAGACGACATTTAGCTAAGAGTAATGCTGTTCTGGTAATTGTCTTTCTCAAAGCTCTGCAGGGCTAGATGCTTTCTGCTCTGGCATGCAGTTCTTTATTTCTGGTACCTTGGGATTTCCCTTTCTTTTTGAGCCCGGCAACATTCTGACAATTTGTTTTAGGGATATATTATGTTTTGGGAACAGGAAGAGGGGAAGGCAGCAGTTACCCATTAATGTCATCTCAGCCCATCATGTTGTCAGAAGACAAAGATACTCTATACTATATGATACGTCCTTCACACTCCAGAATTGAGGTTTAAGCTATCAAATTTCTTTATAATAAATTTTAAAATAGTTATACATTAAATTTGTCCTCAAAGCACACACAAAAGGCCTACAATTACATAGCACTAATGTTTGTGACCCAAGATAGTTTTTACTGAATTTGGATGTTTTCCTTGTGGTCATATTTGCATGGTAATTTTGGTAAGTTAGTGAATACTCTTAAAGATATGTCCCAGAATTCTCATGAGAGTAGAATATTAAATAATGAACTTGGGGGTATCTTTGTTTCATTGTCTTGATGAGTTCTTGTCATGGAAGAGATCCATCCAGATGTCATTTCATTTGGGTTTTACTTTTTCCTCATTTGGATTTTACAAGATTGAGATGTGATCTGTAAAGGTCTTAAAGGCTCTACAACTCCATGACAGGTCATCCTAAAGTAGAATATTTATTGCCTTTAAGCATAAAGCCAAAGAGCTTGGGATTTTTTAAGTTTTTAGAGTAAAAAAATGGGGCAGCAGAGGCGGTTTTAGAACCTATATAGTCACTAGGAGAAACAACCTGTAGGATATTTATCTTACTACACAATGTACTAAAGTAAGGAATGCCAGTCCAAGAAACTGGGGGAGCAGGAATGAGTGATATTAAATCAACTGTAACAAATTTTTACTCCTGGATAAAGGAATTTATTACCATTATAAACTATGTGTGCTCAAGAACAATTTATAATTTCGTAATGACGATGAAAATTACAGTGATAATGTGGGAGAAGTTTTAGTTACAATGTAAGCATGTCATTTGTTGGGTTCTAAAGTACTCCAAAGGTGTTTTGATATATTCCTGTTTGGGGTTAACAGTCTACTTTCTGATCAGACAGCACACAGGGATTACACATTTCTTGCCAACAGTCTTCTGGTGGTATGTAAATATGACTGGTCTCCTTTTTCTCTTAAGCTTTATGTGGTACTTCTGGCTTCATTCACTGGCTTTCTAGCAGCCTCCCCACGTTAGCCTTGCCACATGGTCAGTCTTCTGTTTGGTGGGTTTTATAAATCCTAAAAGTTCTAGTTCAGAAACAGCTCTAATAAACCGAGCACTAGAGGCTATGGCTAAGGAAATTTACCACTTTACATTTTTTGACAAAAAGAAGTTAAAATCTCAATGTTAAAACATCACTTGTTAAACTGTAGTTCAAATACATATGCTAAATTAAACCATAACCCTTACTGGAAAACATCAAATGTAATTAGAATCCACCTTCATTAAGACATGAATGGTAAAGTACCTAACACTTACCTAATTGATTTTTCATACACTATGAAAATTGCTTCCCCTTCAAATTCTAAAAGTACATAATCACCATAGAAAAATAGAGAATTGCAAAAATGACAGTTTTTGGACATTTTTGCTGAATTCTGGAGTATGACCTTGATGGAAGCTGTAGACCAAATATTTTAATTTGGTCTCATTTTAGATTAAATGCAGAATCAATACTTAGAAACAAGTTATTCTGGGATGGTATGGTTAATATTAGCAAGTAATAAGGTTGTTTGGAAAACATCTTTATAAATCTCTATTGTCTAGAGAAACTATAAACTTAATACTCTATGTATACTCAGACATTACACAACTGGTTTGTTAAAAGGATACTGGATAATTTCATTCCTTTCTTCTGAGGCTATAGAATTTGCATCCATTTTTTCAGCAGCTGTCACAACTGTTGCAAAAGCCTTTTGAGAGACAAGACAGAAGAAAATAAAAATCTCTACCACTGCCAAATATTTTTTATTGCACTTGCTGACTCTTGTACGAAGGCAGGTCAAGCACTGCCGCTGCTGATAGCTGGCATATTTTTTAAATATTACACCAAATTTCAGATTCTCAAAACTTTTCTTCTTAGACGGTGCCAGTTATGCATATTTTTAAATGGTGACATCTGTTAAATAAGGCCTTCAACAGAGTTAACTTTATAATACTCTTCTGAGGATGGAAAAGAAATTATTTATCTTAATAACTACACTCTTAACGTTGTCTTATGAAGTATTCCTTTACTTCCTGATTGCTAAATCTGTTGTATAGTTATTCTGATTTTTTTTTTTTTTTGTGATAAAGGAAATGCTAGTTAATAATACACCTTTATTTTGTGGAAAAACAGAACCAACCTAAACTGTTTAACTTTTGCTTACTGTTAACTGTGGGGTTAGATCACATACTTATTTTGACCTGGCATGAATGCAGAATTGGCTTGGTTGAGGTGTGTGGAATTAGAGTGCAGGGGACTTGGAGTGATAGATACTGTGGAGCAGTTAGCTGCTTTTCTGGAGGGGATTTTACAGTATGAGGTGATTTATGCTTTCCAAACAAAAAAACAGGGCATTAAAAAAAAAAATGAAAGATGAGTTCTAAAGTCCCAAAAGTATAAAAACCCTGGAACTGTCATAGATGGTTAGACAAATAAACAGCTTACTCTGTTCCCCATGACCTACCTCTGACCAGTCCACAAGGTTGATGAGCCTGCTGCACTCTAGGTGCAGTTTATATGCAATGCAGATGTCTGGGGCGACATTTGGAATGCAGCCTTCTTCACTTTTCAGTGCTTCATTCTAAAAACAATAGTAAACTAAGATGACTACTTTTTAGAAATGATTAGGAACAAAAGCAGATATTAATGAACCCCCAAACTAAATTCAGTAAGCCAGTAAATGGAGTCTTTTTGGTTTCCTTTATTTAGTGAGCTACATTTACTCCCCAATAGTTATCTAGTTCTTGTTTAGGATTAGGTGTTCATCATAATCCCCTTAGCTTCTAGTCATTAGAGGAATACTCAGGATCAGAAGAAAAGCATATTTTTCATATTAATCCAATTACTAAATTTTTCATTTTAATCATACATTATTAATGTCTGAGACCCTAAATGCATTTCTGTTTCCATAAAAAGTTTATAGACTTCCTTGGGAATTTTTAGTAAAATGCCACTTCCAACATTTATAATTATAGCAATAATTACACTCTGTTAATACCAACACATCACTACCAGGGCTGTACGTTAGCTCTCAAAGAAAAGACTATGTTGTCAATCGCTGCAGATCCTAACTAACCCCTACGAAAACAATCAGGTTGGTTGGTTGGTTTTAAAGATTTATTTATTTGGGGGAGGTGGGCAGTTGGAGAGAAATCCTCAAGGAGACTCTGCACGGAGCGTGGAGCCCAACACAGGGCTCAATCTCACGACCCTGAGATCACGACCTGAGAGGAAACCAAGAGTTGGAGCTTCACCAACTGAGCCACCCAGGTGCCCCAACAATCAGTGTTTTTTTAATTTATTCGAAATCCATGGTTCTTACTGAGAAAGTGTCTCACACATACATACGCACGGAGATTGTAACATATCCTCCCAAAGACTCCTAAAATCATACCAGATCTCTTCTGTGACCTACTCATTAAAGAGAAAAATTTAAATTTGTGGTTTATATAATAAAAATACTTCGTGCTTTAAATACGAAATTATTCAAGCTCTCCACTACCACCATCCTTGAAAACCATTGATTTATATCTTCCTACTCAGTATTCTCTTGTAATACTTAGCATGCTAGCTTGAGTGCCATTTTGGAACAGGAAACCGGGACACTGGAACATTCTTCATAGATTTTATGGAGTCTAAAGAATTTTTTTAAAAAACCTGAAAGAGGTATAATCCTGCGCTACCAACTCCCCACTAGTTAGGACTGCAAATTTACAGAATTTTTGTGGCAAATAAAGCCTGGGGTCTGAACTAAACTTCCAGAGTAAGGAATCTGCTTTTTACCTTGAGATAATAATAAGGATTGTTGAGTGCAGTGTGGAGGGCGATTCTTGGAGCAGCGTTTAGGTGTTCGCGCAGGGTGTGGGCGGCACTGAAGTACACCACCTCGTGCAGAGGCTGTGTCTCTGGAGGCAGAAGATACTCTCTGAAACAGCCAAAGCGAGGTATTCACTTTTAGATAAGCACAGGTTTATTTTCAGTATAACATTTTTGTCAATCCTCTGTGGAAGGTAGAGCAATGAACTCAAAAAGCAAAATCAATAACCAAAACAAACAAATGAAACCAAAGCCAAATAGAATAGTACAGGTTCACTGAGAATTTTACCTCTAACATATAATTTTTAAAATTTTCATATTCACTTGAGTTTAAGAAACTGTATTTCAGTTCTGATTTAAACCTTTAGGAACAAATAAATGTACCTATGTTACATTTCTGCTCAAAACCTTAAAGGCAGAATTTCTTACAATATTAATGAATACTTTCTTAAAGTAATTATTTAGAAAACTGAGATAGCCACATTCCTTACCACAGCAGACATTTAACTCTTTTTTTTTTTTTTTAAGATTTTATTTATTTATTTGACAGAGACAGAGATAGCGAGAGCAGGAACACAAGCAGCGGGAGTGGGAGAGGGAGAAGCAGGCTTCCCGCCGAGCAGGGAGCCTGACACGGGGCTCGATCCCAGGACCCTGGGATCATGACCTGAGCCGAAGGCAGACGCTTAACGACTGAGCCACCCAGGCACCCAGACATTTAACTCTTAACAATGTGTTTAAACACAGGCCTCAGACCTGGGATTAAGAATTTAGGAAATTCTTTTTGGATCACAGAAAATGTTTTAATTGATATGTTTCATAGAAATGATACCTGGAAGGTTTTTGTATGTTAGAATTAACATTTTACTTTAAGAAGGCAGAAAAGGCTAAGTTTTAGCTTCAGAATATTGGAAAACAAATTGTTCATCATTAAAATTTCAGTTAGACAAACCACTATAACTTGGGTTTTTTTCTCCTATTTATGAGTGAGGTGACAACCTAATTTTAATGAAATCTGAACTTAGGAAAAAAGCATGAGAAAGTTCACAGTGGCTTTGAGGAAGAGAGGTAGTGGAGAGGGTATTAACCCTGTACATCTCCCCATCTCAAGAGAACTCCTGGCCCCCTGCTCCTTCCCCAGAGTTAAGCAGAGTAAAACCATTCACAAAGCATTCGGTTATGACTCGGCCCTAAGGATCAGCATTCCATACCTTAAGTACTGCTAACCTCTTACTCAAAAGTATGTTAATTTAGCTGTAGCCTCTGGCATGGGTTTTGTAACAGCAACTGCCTCCCTAGCCAGCTAGTTACCCATTTGTAATTTGACCATAAACTCTTCCTACCAACCTCAGGCTGTTTGTCTCCAGTCATTATAATGACTGTCATTAAAAGACCCTGTTGAAGTCCTGCTATGTAATAAGGACTGGCAATCAAACAAGGTAAGCAGACACAGTCAATTTCAGAAAAATTACCTCACATTTGTACTCTTCTCCCTTTTTAACATCTTTATATTTAATGTTTAGAAATTCAGATAATTACCGAGGCAAAAGGCCTTTTTGGATATCCTCGAAGAACCTTCATCAGAGGCAAAATAAAATATTTGCCTGTATTTTGTTCACACTGGGCTGCTACATTGGTTGACAAAACATCATACATGAGAATTTTTGTCCAACTGCAAGAAGAAATGAGCCCAGCACTAGAGCACTGCATGGTGCTCATTTTGGATTCAGATCAGAGTTCACAAACAAAAGAGAAGTGGTTTTGAGGGAGTGGGTAGGGACCACTTAGTATCAACAAGGGCTAAAATAGTAATGTAGAAAGTAGCACTTTTATTCTCCATTCTCAGGAGTTTCATCAAGTGCTGCTCATGGTAAACTAGGAACCCTGTCTCTTGGAGTCTATTGCTTATATTTATCTTTAACAAACGTCTTTTCTCCAGGACTCCAAGCTCTGTTCAAACATCTGTGATGTGGCCCCCTTGGACAAAGTATGGAGAAATGGAGAGGGACTTGTGCTGGTCGTCAGCAGACCAGGACTGTGTGACTTTCCATGAGTCCTAGCTTCACTCTGGGTTTTAGCGGCCACATGACTCCTTAGGTCTCTTTTAGCTCTAACATGCTACAGTCCTAATCTCTTCCTGCCTGGGATATTCAATCTTGATAAAGACAGTAAATCCTGGTATGGAGAACATTGTGATTTCACAACACAGCACAATTCAGTCATACCTTTATTTCAGTAACTTCTCAGAGAGGTAAAACACAATTAGGAATGGTTGTTTGATTTCAGAGCCTGTAACTTGGGATTTGTGGGAATTCAGAAAGGAACCTGACATTTGGCCTATAAGTTATGCTAAAATACACTATAATTTTTTTCAGCAATAGCAATGGTCACAATTTGGTAAAAGAAAGGAGTCAGATACTTGGGGCAAGAAACCATCAGAACAGAAAAGCCCAGTAGGGCAAGGTTAACTGTATGAGTTCTAAAAGGTCAATTCTGGCCAGTAGGTCAGGTCAGTTCAGTATTGCATTGCATCACTTGTAACATGACACATTTCTCACGTTAACCTTCCTTTTGTCACACTTGGTTGATCATCTGGACTTCCTTCATGACATTAGTAATTTCTCCCCAGTGATTAGGAACAATGACCCTGCTCCCACACTGTGCTGGAAAATGGAACTTTTCACTTTTAAGAGGATAGGTAATTTATCAGGAAACTACTGTCTTCAGTGACTGAGCTGTTCTTTTCAGTACTTGATTATATTCAGTGCCTAGCCTGCTGTTTGAACTGTTAAAAAAAACAAGAAGCAATGATATCTAAGTTTTTTCCTATTTTTTAATTATTAAATCATTTTATTTTTCACATTTCTCTTTTTTTTTTTTCCCCTATAGCATGTCCCAACTGCCTGAAAGGCAGCTTTTAGGTGGGTTATTTCATACACCTACATAAAACCGGCTTTTGGGAAATCCGTGAATTAGAATGACTTGGGTTTCCCAAAAAGGAATCATCTTAAAATACAGGCAGAGCTAATGGACTTCTAAATTACTATGAGTACGTTTCTCAACATGAATTTAGTGCTGATAATAAGTTACACTGGTATTCTTTAGAATTAGAAGTCCTCTACTCTGGATAAAAGAGGGCATCACAGCTAGCCTGCTCTGTCTTCTGGGCTTGGCCCAGATCCAGCATACTCCCAGCAAAGACAAAGCAAGGATAAAGTGCAACGCAAACACTCTTAGAAACGGGAAAAAACACTCACTTTCTGTTTTCACCCCCATCCCACCCCCCACTCCAGCCTAATGAACTAGATCAAATTTAAATCTGTGTTCTTGAACTGGCAGTAAAGGACTGAGCTAGTCATTTGATCAGACATCTTAATAAGGATGAAAAATGAATCAAAATTACAATTCTAAGCTGGATGGAGGGACCTGAAAAGCATAAAGCCCAAGCTAGGAGAAAGTGCCCTGGACTGGCTATGGACAGCTGTCACCCCAATGTTGTTGAGAAAACAGCCTGATTTGTAACTTTTTAAGAGCAACAGACTCACCTCACCAGACTGTCAATGAAGTTGACAACTTTTTCTCTCAGTACTTCAAACCTGGTCTGCTTCTTACTTGTTCTTCTTAATTCCTTCATTTCCAATAAGGACTATGGATGAAAGAACATATTTTTTTCTGGTGATTCTGCAACAGAAAACTCTTCACAGGGGAGTGCTGGGTCCCTACACAGAATGTGTAGAGTAAGAACCAGATCAAAATGGGTTGTTTATTTTTTACTTTTAAGGTCTAGAAAGAATCTCTACAGAGTATCTTGCTTCAAATATATATCAAGTGGATTTTCAGGGAAAGAGAAAAAGGACACCTCACTTTATTACTATCATGGTAGAGTGCCCACAATCCGTAACCCATTACTTCAGTTAAGAAAAAGACTTAAAAGAAAAAAAAAAAAAAAACACACCTTAGCCTTTGGCCATCTAAACAGAATAAATTCATTGTGTTCTGTCTTGCTTTGAAAGTTTACTCTACATTTATCATAACTTGGTATCATGATACAAAGAAGGATCTTTACTTTGACAACCAAGATCCTAAAGTTAGAATTATCTGAAAGATTATGTTGGATGTACTGTGGCTCAGTTTCTGCTCTCTATACTGAATATGCATTAAAAAAATCAAGAAAAGTATCTAAAATTAATGGGTTAGGCTCTTTTGGATTTCTCTGTTTGATCCAAAAACAAATACATCAGATAAATAATCAGGTTCCTTTTTGCAACAGTGTCCCCAGTTTTTCCTTACTAGTAGTTTATTCTCTTTTTCTCTCTGTTCCTTTTAGCCAAAGGAACAGTTTCTACCTATGTTGGCTAGTATAGACTTCATAAATACAGAATGAGGATGGCAATGGATCAGATAAACAGGATGTTCAATTTATAAGTGAGTTACAAAATCTGCTTTGTTCCTGATGGTGGTTTAAAAATAAAAACAAAAACATTTAGGCAGAGCTAATCTAGAGCACGCACTGGAAAAAAGGAGTGGCAGGATGCAGTTGGAAGGAAAAGTTACCTTCTGCAGATGATAGAGGTCCGTCTTCTGAAGCCCCTTTGACTGTGACCCAGAAGTATCTTCTTCTTCTTTGGCTTCTAATTTTTAATAAAAAAACAATATACAGCAACTAAGGTAAATCCATTCAAGTCAAAGAGAAGAAGTATTCCTACTACTCCAAGGGAAATAAAAGTTTCATCTATTTTTTTTTTTCAATGTGGCAAGGGGTTTCCATCAAATAAATGATTTCTCCCAGAAGCTGAAGGTAAATAAATACTACATAAATTATGCTGCAGAGATGGCTTCAAAAAACCAGCTACTGGATTTTAAAAACATGACCACAATGCAAGCAAAACAAAATACAAACATATAAAACCCCACAAGCCAAGAGCAAAAAGCTACAAATCTTTGTGCTGTTATAAATAGCATTTTAAAAACAAATTTAAACTGTATTCCTTTGAGTATGCCAAGACCATAAACAACACAAACCTACACCCTGGCAAACCTGGCCTCAACCTTCCAATTCACTATTTTTGACACAAGGCTGTTTGAGTATGAAAAAGGTAGTGTGTAAAAGGTTTGAAATAATCTACTGAAACAAAGTACACCATAGTTCTTTAGCAAAGGGAATAGAAAACCATATCTGGTAAAAGGTGTAGTTGTGCTTCTAGAGCGCATGAGGCTACCCTTTCCTAGGAAAGGCAGGTTTTAGGAACCTCATATTGACATGGCTTATTTGGACTAAATCTAAGACAAGAGGATGCAGCTGTAGAATCTGCATCGTTCTCAATAAATTTCTTCACTATGGATAATTTTTGGTTCAAGAAAGATATAACTTAAGATTAAATTATCTAGTAAATTCTTTGCCCCATTTTATTAACACATAGCAGAGCCTTAAAAATAAATCTGATATATGAAACTCTGACCTAATCAACCCTCCAAATGTAATTTTAAACCCAGATTGTAAAATGTAGTTAAGCGTTAAGGAACCAGAAATAGCATATAGTCAAATACTTGTACTTGTCCAATGTGGGGGTTTAATTTCACTTTTTTATTAACTGTGTGTCATTTTGAGAATAGAGAAATACAGATATTTCTTCAAGACACTGGTTTTGTCCCAACTTCAAAGTTCTTTACCTTTCGAATGTTAATGATCTTAATCTCCAACCTTCCCATTTCTAAAAGCTGCATTCCTTTATTATTTAGCACATCACAGAATTTGTTTCACCAGCTTGTTAATTTATTATAATATCTAAGGTTTTATTTTACAAAAATCTGAGTCCAATTTTGTAAAAGACTGAAATTTACCTAATTTACTTATATAAGTCTTTTACCTAATTTATGTCCTTAAGGGTGTCCCCTCACTGTCTCAGTGACCACAGTTAAGAGGCATTTAAATTATCGGGGCAACTGGGACGCCTGGGTGGCTCAGTCAGTTAAGTGTCTGCCTTCGGCTCAGGTCATGATCCCAGGGTCCTGGGATCGAGTCCCACATCGGGCTCCCTGCT